CAATGAAAAGTTACCAGGAGATTAACTTGTGTGACTGACAAACTGTATTTTTCAAGAATAATTCTTGAAAGCTGGTTAATGACAAACATTCCTCAGAAATATAAAATCATTTAACTGTGACAACATGAAAATTTCTCTATGGATCCTCTCTATAAATATCATCGTTTCTTACTCTTAAGAAGCAGAACAAGGGTGGTCTGTGTTATAGAGAGAGAGTGAGAGATATGGAGATAGTGAACAGGAGTGAGAAAGCCGAATTCGAAAGCAACGGCTGCAAAGGTGAGATAGCGTTTTCGAACTCATTTGGAAAAGACGGATGTGGTATCTGCAGGAAGCCGGAGTTTAAACCCAAGAGCGGAAGCCCGATTCCAGCGAAGAGGAAGCTAGTGAAGACGATGATGGTTGTGTTTTTGGGGCAATTACTTGCTTCCCCTGTCACAAACAAGAAAAAGCTACCAAAAGATCAATCTTCCTCAATTTAAGTCTGCCAAATTTGAGTATGCATTTATCAAATACATTAAAAATAGACTTCATGGTATTGCCCTTGTAATATTAATGAGGCAATCACTTCCTTTAGTGATGAATTGATATGTTAGTGGTACTTGTTTAGAGGAAACAAGATTTGTTAGTGATGTACTCCTCTCTCTCTCTCTCTCTCTCTCTCTCTCTCTGTTTGTGTGTGTGTGTTCTTGTGTTTAATGCATGAAATCTATTGTCTTTACTCTTATTATCAGGTTCTACAAGAAACAGTTTCCTATTGGTAAATAGACTAAATTGTATTTCCAAAGTAATCTTTTGAGTACAGAAGCAGAGTTGCTCTCTAATAGACTGCTAAAAAAAAGGGCAACTAAACAGACTTCCACCACAGCCTTAACAGGAAGACCAAAAGCAAAATGAAATATGTGGTGAGTGCTGAGTAACCGGCACCTTCTCTTTGTATACAGATGTGACAAAGATGATGTTAAAACAAATGATGTCATTTATTCTACAAAATATTGCGCAATATTTTCTCATAGTTGAACAAAAATCAAATAAAATAATACAAAAGGTGGGGCTATTTTTACCCCCCCCACCCCCAAATCTCCGTTTTCACCTTATTAAACTCTAAATAATAAAACTACTAAACACACTTTTTTTATACTTACTCCATTGTTAACTAAGTCTACGGGTGCAACTTGAACAAGCCAACCCTAATCAAACTCAAAAGAAATTATTATCCCTTATTTCAATTTTCACCTTTCGAATTTCTTTCTATACCACATCTCACACAACCTATACAAAAATATACCCAACTTAATTATTTAATATAAATTTCTCAAGTGATATTCAAGTTGGTTTTAGGTTCAAATTTATTTTATTTTGCTGCACATGTTTTTGTTATATATATAGGGTTTAATTATACTATTTTTTTGTATAAAAAGTATTTATACTGTTTTTCATCTAAGTTACTGTTTATTTATTTAATTTTTTTTAAGAGAAATTCACATGGAATGATTAAAAAATAAAAAAGTATTTGAGTGAAGGCTTATCTATTTTTATTTTATTTTTTTGTTAACATTCAAAAAATATTTTTTTATATATTTTATTAAGAATTTAGTTGTTTGTAACCTAGCACATCAAGACATGATTAAGAAAAACTATTTTATGATTTTTATATTTTCGTTAAATATTGCACAAGTTTGGTTTAGACATTAACGGCGGGGGGGAGGGGATTTAGAAAATAGTCCAGTAAATATAGTAAATGTGGATTTAATAGTTTTATAATTGAGAGTTTAGTAAGATGGATAAAAATATTTGTGGGATAAAAATAAGGGTTAATTGCAAATTGTATCTCAAAAGATCGTTCGAATCTCAATTTGCATTCTTAAAGATCAAAAATCTTAATTTGTACCCTTAAATATAGAAATTCATATCAATGTACACCCCCAAAGATTAAAAATCTCAATGTGCACCCTCAAAGATAGAAATTTGTATCAATGAACACTTAAAACTAACCGTTGTCAATTTGCTGCTTAAAACTAAATTGATAAATTATATCTAGATCCCCTCATGCTTGTTACTTAATCATTTGGAGCCCTTCACAAAATAAAGAGTAATATAAAATTATAATTTTTTTATTAGAATAAGATCACATTTTTTAACGATTATAAAATCCTAATAAAAATACTCTCAATCTAAAATGTCCCCTCAATTGGGCATTCAAATAATTATGTTTAAGTGATATATTACATTGAATATAAAAAATATTATATAAATATCTACATTCTATTAGACATTCAAATGATAAGTTTAATTTTAAAGTTTAGAGTATATCGAACCTACAAAATAAAAGGTAATATGCAATAATCTTACTCTAATTCAAATTGGGGTGTTTATAATAAAAATTGTGTGCCAGCTGCCATTACTTTAATCGGTTACTGCTGAAAATCAAATGGCAGACAAATTTTATTCCAAGAATCTAATATTTCATCTGCTGCCTTGGCACTCAATATCTGTCTGATCATCTCTATCTTTTATTTGGTCTATATCCAATAATGTAATGCTAGTTGTCATAATTTATCCATCTTATTTGTTGATTTAATATAATATAATCGTTAAAGTGACAATAAATTATATATAAAATTAAAATTTGTTATTAATGCAACAGTTATAATGAATTAAACCAATACAATAAATTAATAAATTACGTTCAAATAATATTATTTTTTGAAATATAATCTTCACATAAATTTTCAGGGTTAAATTGAATAACATATAAGTGATTGATGGTTGATTAAAGAGACGTCTAATCGATCTCTCCTATCTCTCTCTCTCTCTATATATATATGTGTGTGTGTGTGTGTGAAAGTTAAATTATCAATTTATAAAAGAATAGCAACAAACAAAATTAATCTATTTTTTATCCATTTTGATCAAATGGTACAAAATTTATCTCAATTTTTTTCAATCTTTTTTTTTCCTAATCGATCTCTTTATACGAATTCAATATTAGACAACTCAATCAACAAACTTTTAAATATTAGACAACTCTATTAATTCACATCCACCTATCTCTTATTTTCTATCTATTCATTTTAATTTTAAAATACATAATCAAAAAAATAAAAATAAATCATTATATAAATATTATACGATTAATGCTTAATTTTGGGTATTGTAAAATGACTTCAAGTACAAATTATCATTGGTGTCTATATATATATATATATATATGATTGTCTAAAAGTGAATTTGTTTGGGTATTGTCTTCGATCGATGGTCACTAGAATCTAATACCCTATAAATGGAGAGAGGAACAGAATCTCGTCCTTGGGAAAATGATTTATTAAACCTAACTATTCTCAAGTTCCATCAATTTTTGTTTTTGAAAAGTCATTCATGTACCTATATGATGTAGAAATATCATTCTTGTTATCGTACTTTTATTTTTCATATAATGAAAACGCATCACACGTGTGTGTGTATATATATATACTGTGTTACTTTATTATTTTATCAATTAATAGTTACATTAAAAATCAAAATTAATGATTCAAATTAATTTTAGGCATGCGCGATAACCTTATCCTAATCCATTACGAGAAAAAACGTTGGTGAACAAGCATACAAGGTGGTACCCTACACAAAAAAAAATAGCTATCACTATGCAAATGGGTGTAAGAAAAGGCTCAACTCATACCAAATTCCAATGATCAAAGTTTAAAGGTACAATTGATAGGGTTGAACCGACAAAGTCTTTGTCGTTCATCATTAGCTTTACCTTTGAATAGATTACCTCATCAAATAACTTGAGCCCATATGCCGGAAAATGTAAACTAAATTTCATCATATTTTAACACTTTTGTAAGATACATATTTACAGGGCGGAGTTAAAAATTATATCTATGGTGGGAACTTTACTTAGAAACTTTAATTTTCCTCTCAATTAATAAAAAAATATATGTATTCAAATTTATTATATTGTATTTGATAATTCATAAAATAAAAAAAATGCATCAAATGTGGGTAAATATAATGTATACAAATAACAAAAAAAAACAAATTACAATTCTTTACGACAATTGAGGCAAACAGAATAAAAGATGCTAATGATGCACAAATATTATGAACTACCTGTCAAGTGATTAGTAATTAATGCAATAATTAAATAAAAAGAGAGTAACTCAAGCAAGATAAAGATGTAGAGTAGTTCGGTCAACATTAAGTCTACTATGAAGGGTTAAGGTGGCCTGGGTATTTTATTACTTTGAGGAGTGCAGGGAGAGTATGGAGATACAAGCAATGAGAGAGAGATAAGGGTGATCACAAATGTGCTCGATGCCCCCCATGTGCTGGCGGGGTTTACAATTTATAGTGGCTCTCAAAAGACTGAGGCGCATTTTCAGTAACTAATTGGTGAATCTGGTAGAGCTGACGCTATTTTTTCAACGAATGAGACAGTTATAAAGCTCCCCTTAAGATCAGGTCAAAGGATGACGTGGGGGTTAATTTCTTCTAAGGCAGGGGGTGGATGAGGCTCTTGAATGACTTTGCATACTCCCTTGATGATGTAGCTTCTCAAAACCTGATGAGCTTGACTGTGTGTGGACCTCCCTTGGGCTGGACCCATTGGATTTCTTCAAGTTGGGCTCTTTATTCAGACTGGGCTTATAACATAAATTGGGTCATTGGGCTTGATCCATCATTTACCCCTCAATGTCTTGTGTCCAATAAAACTTGGAGAAGAGGACATTTGATTGAACCTGGATTTCAGCTGACGGAGACTCCCTTTGATTGACAACTCTTTCCCTTCCTGATATACAAACTCCTTTTGTCTATAAGACATCTTCAGCTATATAAACTCCCCCACGTTTATCTCCTTATAGGATTTGGAAAAAACACTAGGCCATAAATTGGGGGTTCTTCCTTGACCCTCATTTGATTCATCTTAAGGGAGGATTCTTTTCGAGATACTCAAGAAATCAAGCAAGATGAGAGAGGTTTGTGACTTTGTCCTAGAGATGAGTGCTCAGATATTAAATGAAGGAGAAGGGACGCGAGGTAGAGTGACTGGTGTCGATGCAAGAGGCCAAGCATCCTTTGTCGAGGCAAAGGGGCTAGTTAGCACCGAAGAGGAAGGGATCCAACATGGCAGGGTGACCCAAGATGGTGAGGAAGCCCAACTACATGCCGAAAGCCAGGCGATCCAAGTGGGTGCCGCTGGTGAGGCAACCCAGCTACAAGCCGAAAGCCAAGCAACATAGGTGGGCACCGCTAGCAAAGCAGCCCGGTTGGTCGCCAAAGGCTAGACGACCTAAGTGGTCCCCGCTGGTGTGGCGATCCAACTAGGTGGCGAAGCGCCATGGACGCTAGGGAACCCTGCTTGTCACGGTGGAGGAGCGTTGGGTGATGGGCACTGGTGGTGGAGCCCGCAGGTGGTGGCGTTAGAGCCAAGCAATGTCCATGGTGGGTGTTACTCACGGAACCTTAGAGCTTGGGCACAGGGCTATGGTGGGTGATTTGCCGGGAAATGCTAGTGATTTTGGCAATAGAAACTCCAGGCAAATGGTGGATGGCATGACTCGTTCAGGTAAAACTCCACCTAGTCATGTCCCTTAATGTTCTACTGGTAATGGCCTAGCCAATATATCTAAACACCAAGGAAAGGTAGTTCTTGATGATGATGGGTCCAAAGTAAGTACCATTTCTAGTACTCTCAATACTGATGCTGACATTCTCTAGCTTGTTTCTACTTATAACATTCTTCCAACAATGCTATGTTGTAGAGCTAAAATTGGTGAGCCTATCTGTGATGACTCCTCTAGTGATATTGATTTTTATGAGGAGCTTCTTGAGGCTAGGCTGAGGTTTCCCATGCCTTCCTCCATTTGTCGCATTCTTCATTGTTTTTCACTTGCGCTAGCACACTTGACGTTCAATGGTTGGAGAGTTCTGCTGGAATTCCTTGCACTATGGAGGAAGGTGCATCATGAAGATGCTACTCCTGAAGAATTTTGTGCGGCCTATACTTTGAGTGAGACTCCTGCTCCCAATCATGGTTGATATTACTTCACTCCGAGGAGAGGAAAGTTGATTGTTGGACTGCACTAAAATTGTCATAGCTGGAAAGTTCGCTTCTTCTTTGTTAGTGGAGAATGGGCTTCAGAAGCTAACAGTGCTTTGGTACCAGTGAGATGAGATACTCCCAAAAGGATTGGTATGCCTACTCTTATTCTCTTTCCTTTGCCTTTTGCAAATGTGTACTCATCACATTCCCTACAGGCTCAGCAGTGCTTTCAAAAGATCAAGAATGGAAGTTACAAGCTATGAGGGCTCACCCCGTGAAGGAATTTGGAGCTCTCATGCAAAAAGAGGGTGGAGCTAAAGACTCTCCTACAGGCAGTGCTAGGGACGGTGCACCCTTTTCTAGACCTAGATGTTCTTCTTTAAAGAGAAAGGGTATGTTGATTCCCTTATATTCTCCTCTTTTCCTCGATTTTTCATAGGATAACACTTTTATCCTTCTGTAGTTGATAGGACAGTGGTGGAGTCCCATTATTCCACTAGAAGTTCTCCTCTTCCTAAGGTGGTGAGGATGAATGATGCCCTGGCGAGCCTATCTCAGATGACCCCTCCAGTGGTGCCTCCTCAGTCAACGACTTCTTCAGAGGTGACCGTCACTCTAGAAACTCCCCTATTGGCCACACCTTCTGCCCCCCACTCATCGACTCCTCCTGCATGGACTTCTACAAGAGCACTTGCTCAGAATAGCTCCATGTTGGGTGATATACGAATCGTTAGGGAGCAACTTGGGAGGTTTGTGTTTTCAGCAGACATTAATGAGGTTAATGCTCGGGGCACTAAGGGTGTCATCGACACTTTTCTAGAAGGTCTGGCTCAGGTAAGAGTTTGTTTTCTCCCTTTCTCCAACCCTTCCTTAGGTACTAACATTCTTTCATCTTCCTCAAGTTTCTGCTGCATCTATGTGTCTCTTTTCAAGAGTTGTTCATTTTAGCTTAGCTAAAGTAGATTCATGATGTTGTGCAGAATGAGCTTCTTATTGCTCAGGGGAGAATTGCTGGGCTTAAAGCTAAGGGTAGAGCTTTCTAGGCTGAGCTTATGGCAAGCCGTGAGAGGGTTGTGCTCAGTGAGGCTGCTTGCACGAGGGCTAAAGCAGAGGTGAAGGCAGCTCGCGAGAGGGTTTTTTGGGCTGAGACAGATCTATTATTGGCTCATGAGAGGGCTGTCAAGGTTGAGGCTGATTTAGAGAGTGGCCTCGCAAATGCCTTCAATGATGGCTAAGAGGAGTTTCGAAAAAAGATTTCTGTTGTTTTCCCTAATATTGACCTTTCAGGCGTGTGTGCCATATGAGGTGCCTAATGTTGATGGTGATGATGACTCTGACAGTGCTAGGGGCGAGGACGAGAACGAGGAGGATGGTGGGCATGAGAGTTGTTAGAGTGCTGGGGAATTTTTTATTTTTTTTATTTTTGTAGGAAGGTAGTGTGTAGCCTCATTTTTTAAAAGTGGTTTTTTGCCACTAATGTTCTTTTGAAATAGAATGTAAGAATGCAAAGAACTTTGAAGTAAATTTAGAAAATTTTATTCGGTGACTGCTTATGCTAAGCAATGGTGGGGCAATAATAACCAAAAAAAGGTATAAGAAATAAAATCAAGTTCCCCAAATTTACTACTTCTACTTTCCTAAGGTGTAATTGGTAGTACCTCTTCAGGTGTTTAGCATTCCATGGATGGGATAAGACCTTCCCCATGGAATTCTGAATCTTGTAGGTATTTGGTCTTACTACTTCTGTTATGAGGTAGGGTCCTTCCCAATTTGGTCCGATCTTCCTTTCTCGCGAATCCTTCGTGGTGAGGATTACTTTCTTAAGGACTACGTCTCCTAGTTGGAAGGAACGAAGCTTCACCCTCAAGTTGTAGTATCTCGCCGTGCAGCACTTGTACTCCGCATTCTGCACCATCACCATCTTTCTTTCCTCCTCCACCAAGTCGAGTTTGACGTGGAGTCCTTCCTCATTGGTGATGGGATTGTGGTGTTGGACCCTTAGAGAATGTACCCTGATTTCCACCGGCGAGTGAGAAAAAAGTTTCTATAGTCGGAGACTTTGGTGTCATTCGGTAGGCCTATAATACACCTGAGAGTTCTTCAACCCAAAGTCCCTTTGCTTTTTTTAGCCTTGTCTTTATGTTGCGTAGTACTGTTTTGATTGTGACCTCTGTCTGCCCATTCGCTTGAGAGTGCGCTGAGTTGGAATGAGGCTACTTTATTTAGAGGTCGGTGTAGAATGAGTTTAGGAGCTTGTTGTTGAATTGCTTGGCATTGTTGTTAACTATGGCATGGGGTACTTCAAAGCGGCAGACCAGGTTCTTCCAAATAAAATCCTTGAACTTTGCGTCAATTATCTTTGCTAAGGATTCGGCCTCCACCCACTTTGTGAAGTAGTCGATAGTTACTACCACAAACTTGCACTGCTCCCTTGCTTAGAGTTAAAGGGCCTAAGGTGTCGATGCCCCATTTGGAGAAGGGTTATGGACTTGTGATAGCTATCACCTTTTCTGGTGGCTATCTGGGCATAGTGGCGAAGTGCTGGCACTTGTCACATTTCCTGGTGAACTCCTTGGTATCCCTCACCATGTTAGGCCAGAAATAACACTATCTGAGTGCCTTGTGGGCATGAAAGCTTCCTCCAGAGTGATTTCCACAAACTTCTTCATGAATCTCTCTTAAGGCATAGTTAGCTTACTCTGGGGAGAGACAACGTAATAATGGTAGGGAGTGGCCCTTTTTGTATAGGATGTCCTGCAAGATCGTGAACTTGGAGGCTCTCATCCTGAGCTTCTTGACTTCCAACGGGTCATCTGACAATGCGCCCTCCTGAAGGTATGCCTTTATTGGGTTCATCCAGTTTGTCATGGCAGATATGAAATTAACGCTAATGGCTTCCACATCTTACCTGCTTGGCTCGAACTAGTGACTAATGAATGTTGGTCCTGGTGGAGCTTCTGAGGATAAGGCAAGCCTAGCAATTGCATCTGCAGCGATATTATCTTCCCTTGGGATGTGATAGATCTGAAAGTAGTGGAACTTAGTCAGCAAGGCTTGCACCATAACGAGGTACTCTTGCATTTTGGTTCTTTTTGCTTCGAACTCACCCCTCACTTGGTTGACTATCAACTAAGAGTCACTATAAGTGTTGAGCTCTTGGGCTCCCATTTCAACTGCCAACCTTAAACCAGAGAGGAGGACTTCATATTCTGCCTCATTATTGGAGGTTATAAAGTGGAGTTTCACGACATACTTGATAGGGGTGCCGTTTGGACTAGTCAGGATTAGGCTTGTTTCACCTCTTTCGCTAGTTAAAGAACCATCAACATAGAGCTTCCAGGGAGGTGGTAGGGAGTGGGCCTTGGAGGCTGTAGAGGACGTTAAGGCACCTGTTGTTGGTGCCAAGACTCCTTGGGCACCCTTGGAGGGCACCATGTTGTCTTGAGCACCAGGTCTTGGCACCTGAGTGTTTGGGTGAGTTTTTGATGAGGCTTCTTGAGGTGTTAAGGGTCCACTACCCTCCTCCTCCACCGGTGTGAGCTCAGCAACAAAATCTGTCAATGCTTGTGCTTTGATGGTTGTCCTTGGTTGGTACTGAACATAGAACTTGCCCAGCTCTACTATCCACTTAAGGAGTCTTCCAGAGACGTCTGACTTCCCCAAAACCCTCTTTAGAGGCTGGTCCGTGACAATGACAATGGTGTGACTCTGGAAGTAATGTCAGAGACACCTTGCTGTTGAGATCAGGGCAAGCGCCAACTTTTTTAACCTTGAATATCTTATTTCTGCTCCTCGGTTTGCCTTGGTCACGTAATAAACAGGCTTTTGTACTCCTTCGTTGTTCTTGATGAGGACGGAGCTTACTGCCAACAGGGAAGTAGAGAGATACAAGTACAAGGTCTCACCTGGCATAGCATGTGAAAGGAGCGAGGGCATAGCCAAAAAAGTTTTAAGCTTTTGAAAAGCTTCTTCTGCCTCAGGTCCCCCACACAAAGGCTTTTCGAAGAATCTTGAAAAAGGGCAAGCACTTATCTGCAGACTTATAAACAAATATGTTGAAGCGCTGGAGCTCATTGGTTGTGGTGGGTGATTTCATGTCCAGGATGACTTTGATCTTGTTAGGATTCACCTCAATTCCCTTCTAATTGGCCATAAAGCCTAAGAACTTTCTTGATCCGATGCCAAAGGCCTAAGACATGACCTGAGAACATCGAAGGTTTCTTGAAGGTGATCTATGTGGTTTGCTGCAACGAGGCTTTTTACTAGCATATCTTCTACGTATACCTCCATTGTTCTCTTGATCTGAGATTGAAACATCTTGTTCACCAGCCGTTGGTAGATTGCTCCCACATTTTTCAGTCCAAAGGCATGACCCTGCAATAGTAGGTCCCATTCAAAATGATGAATGACGTCTTCTCAGGTTTGGGGGATGCATGCTAATCTGGTTATATC